AACGAAATACCACAGAATGAAAATTCCCGAGGGAGTTGGAGGGTAGGTTTGTAGCTGAGGGAGTTAGGGCGTACCTGAGGGTGCTAAGGCGTAGCTGAGGGTATTAAGTAGTTTAGGGTGTAGCCGAGATGTTCAAATATAGCTAATGGTCTCAACGACTGGGTCACGTCTGGGTGTATTTTCCAGTTACCGTAATTGTTCCTGAGGGAGCCCCTTCCCAGGCTTTTGGCACGGCTCTGTGGGGCCTTCTCCATCACCCTCTTGTATGGTGTGGCTGGTGTTTTGTTCAACTATATTTCATATGTGTGTGTGTATGTCACCTGTATTTGGTGATATTGATGATGAGAGATGGTGTTAGGAGTGGTGTTATGGTCTACTGAGTCATGTAAATAGAATGTTTACCAATTGATCACAGAGAGACACGTGATGATATATTACACGTTCCGCGTTACGAGTAATTTTTGTAAAATTAAGCAGTAAGTGTGTTGTGTTTAGCGGGGCACACAGGATAATAATATTCAGTTGACGTAATTGAAGGTTTTTATTGTGTCAAGATTTTAATTAAGAGAGTGGGAGGGTGGGGGGGTTGGGGGGCCTCCCTCGGGCTCTGCAGGAAGGCCACCACCACCTCCCCAACCACCACCACCACCAACCACCACCACCACACTGTTCCTACCATGACACCCCCCCCCCCCTCCATCCTACCACCACAATTCCCACAATACTACCACCACCAACACCCCTCCCACCAACTACTGCACCACAATACCCACGATTCCCTCACTACCACCATTACTCCACTATCACCATCAACACCCCCCTTACACTCGTTATCACTCTCACTGCAAGCAACATCAACTTCGCTACTCTCACTATAACCACTGTCACCTCAGCCACTCTCACTATCACTTCTACTGTTACAACCACTGCTTACACCCTCAATACACCACAACCCTTTTAACAAGTATTTTGTGGTGATAAAAAGGAGGCAGAACAGGGCACAGCAGCAGGAGCAGCAGGTAAACAGCGCACAGCAGCAGGAGCAGCAGGTAGACAGGGCTCAGCAGCAGGAGCAGCAGGTAAACAGAGAACAGCACCGTTGGTAATCAACCAATGAGATCAGAATAAGGCAGACCAGCAGCTGCTACAGACAGCCAAATTGCACTGAGTGTAAGTCAAACCAAACATAAACATAAAATGAATTAAAGAACCAATAGACAATGGATTAAGAATAATTAAATAATAGCTTAAGAATCAAGGTACAATAGATTAAGAAAATTACTAAATAAAATAGAGCAGACGAAGAAAAATAAATTAGGAAAAATACAATAGAGTAAAAAATACAATATATTAAAAATACAATAGATTAAAAAAACAAGAGATTAAAAATACAATAGATTAAAATACAATAGATTAAAACATATAATAGATTTAATACAAAACATAATGGAATTGAAGCAAAACAGAGTGGATAAAGAAACCATAGATAGTAACACAACAAAGTAGAAGATGATAAACGAGGCGTCAACCATAGACAGCAACAAACGGAACAAGCAACAATGGACGATAGATAATATGATCATAATTGCTTTAAGCTCGAAATGAGATTTATAAAAAAAAATGAAAACAAGAGTTGACATGAGACTGTAGCATGTTTCCATCGGAGATAAGATACAAGACAGAGGTTCACACGTACTTGTCAAGTTCCAACAAAGTTGTTGTGGTTGGTTAATTACATGTTTAATTCACGTTTGTTTTTAGGATATCAGATAGAATGAAAAATAATACTAATAATAATTATAATAATAATAAAAATAATAATTATAATAATAATAAAAATAATAATAATATTAATATAAAAATTCATATTAATAAAAATATTATTGAGGGTGGAGTAAATATCCTATACATATGTAAGTATATTATTAAACCAAATTTTCGAGTTAATTGACATCCTTTATCGAGGTGCAGTAAACCATTATTTATTAACAGTTCGCTTACACATATATTAATTATTTTAATTAATTAATACAAATAATAATAAGCATCAAATTAATTATTTAACAGTTCGCTTACACACGTATTGGTTGTCTCTTTCAGCTTTGAACACTAGAGTATTGTAGCAAGTTTCTCCAAAATTTGTATTATTAAGACACAATAATAATAAAAAGAAGATTGAAATAAGTACAATTATTGTAATAACGCTAATAATAATGATTTACAAATTGCACGTAAAATTTAATCTTATTTTTCTTCGTGTTAAGAGCAAATTAAACTGACATTACGTTAATGAGGCTGATATTTTACACCATTGAAGGCAACTTCCTCATTATTATGTCACCATTATCAACAAGCATCATGATCATCATGATCATCATCACCAACAATGCCACCGTCACTACCACCACATCACCATACCACCACCATCATCAGCAGCTGTTCCCTTTCCTCCTCATTGTAAACAATCACACACATGTGTGCAAGTAGGAAGCAATACTTG